TTGTATATATATATATATATGTGTGTGTGTGTGTTTATGAGTGTTGTGTGTTGTATATATATGTTATAACACTTACATTTTATTGCTCTTTTGTTGATTTTGATTGCTTTTATTGTCCTCATTTGTAAGTCGCTTTGGATAAAAGCGTCTGCTAAATGTCTAAATGTAAATGTCATGTAAATGTAAGAAAGAGTGATTAATGTATGAGCGTGTGTTTGTACCTCTCTCTCATGCTCATCGCCGGTTGTGTGTTGAGGAAAGACAGCTGTTGCTCCAGACTGCAGACGCGAAACGCCAGATAACACGATGAAATGATGAGCAAAATGATGCTGAAACACAAACACACACGCGGTTAACATGCATGTTAATGACTTTCCATTAAAATAACTAGACTAAAGTCAAACTGCTCTGGTTGAGAAAGTAAACAAATCTTGCTATTATTATTATATATAAAATTATACGTTATAATAATGATCAATTCAATCATTTGACATTTTTATCATGTAATTATTTATTGTAATATTATTTATACAAATTTTTAATTTTTATTTTATTATTAATTTTTAGTTTTTATTAGAAAATAGAATTTTAACCATTTTTAGCAATTATTAGAAATAGAACAATACATTACTGCCATTATTAATTATTCTAAATAAAATAGTTATACATTATTATTTATAAAATTATAAATGAATTATTTGACATTTTTGATGCTTCCGTTCTGTTAAGAAACTAAGACTAAAGAAGTCAAACTACTCTGGCTGAGAAAATAAATGCTACTTCACATTACCAATATTAAATATTATAGATATAATTATTAATAATTATTCGTTGTTATTTATAACAAATTTATTAGACATTTCTTTATGCTTTTATTATGTTTTTGTTAACAACACCCCATTAATTATTATTAACAATTACACATTATTTGTAATTATTACAAATTCTTTTTTGACATTTGATGCTTTTATTATGTTCTTGTATTAATTATTAATTTATTATTATACATAAAATAATTATTTAAAAAATCCACAATTCTTGACTCTTTAATTATGTTCTTGTTAATGACTTTCCTTTAAAAAAATAAGACAAAAAATGTTTTGTTTGAGAAAGTAAACCAATCTGCAGGTTCTCATTGCTATTATTAAATATTATAAATAAAATTATACATTATTATTAATATAGATTGATGAATTACTTAAGATTAATTATTATTAATTAGATTATTATTATGTTATACAAATTAATTTATTTGACATTTTTATTATGTTCTTATTAATGACATTCCAAATAAAATATTATTATTATTAAAAATATGTTTATAATCATTATAGTTATAATAGTAATATATATAACAATAATAAATTATTTGTAATACACTAATACAGCACTTCATTAAGAGGTTGTGACTAGAAGGACATATTATGACGTAATTATTTATAAATTTAGTTTATAACAAATAATTTTGGAGTGATTCCACTGAACAACCAGCAGAGGGCGACATCACACCACAAAAATGCATGACTTCCTGAATGAGTTTTGAGGTCAAGAGTTTCTCTTTTTCTGTATGAATAACTGCTTTATATTTATCCTGTGTGTAAAACGGTAAGCGTTTGAACAGCAGCAGAAGGAAAGGAGCGCTCTGGACTCACAGCAGAATGAAGAACTTGAGCAGATGATACTCCATGTGACCCAGTTCAGACACGGGTTCAGTCAGCAGGATCTTCTCCGCCTCCAGCCGTCTCTCTGAGGATCACAAAACATCATTTGGCTTTGTTTTGTTGTTTCAAAAGCTTCACGCAGAGCCAAGAATCCTGTTTATTTCAAACTCGCCATTGTGCGTCAAATGCACCGAACAAACATAACAAAGTGAAACAGACCGTTTTGAACTCTTAACAGGCGTCTCATAGTCAAATATCAAACGCAGCGAGTTAAATTCAACGCGCTTTATAATCAAATAACCTGTGGATATTTTCCTAACTCCGTCACGCCCAGAAACCGTCCCGTCACAGCCTGCGGACCGTAACGTGAGACACTAATATTTGCACAAAGACGTGAAGAACAGGAGCTATAGTTCATTAAAGAGCTCGCCGATGAGAATAAACATTTGATTATTTCAACTGTAAATTAATGATGGTGTTTAGATTACAGTTAAAGAGGATCAAGTGCTCTTCTATTATGAATAATGAAAGAAAAACAATTAATGAATGAATAATGACGTGGCTATACTGCACATTTTAATTTTACTTTGCTATGTTAGTACATGCCATTTATAATCATAAATCATCATAAATATAAAAAGCTATTAAATAATTAATAAATTACTCTCTCTCTCTATATATATATACATATATAAACACTTATATAATTTAAAATTATGTAATTTATTAATTATATATAATATTATATTAAATATTATATGTGTAATATATTATTACATAAATAATATAATTATTAAATACATATTGTATGATATATTATAATATATTATATATTAACATATGTATGTTTTTATTTATATATAATATATGTATACATAATTATAATATATATATAAATAAATTATTATAATTAATAAATAATTTCAATATATTATTTTAATAATTTTAGACATATTTAAAATAGTCATTATATAATAATATCATTTATAATTATTCAATTAATTTTATGTAATATATAATTTTTTCTTAATTAAATGTATAAATTATTAAATGATAAATAATATATATATTTATATTTTATACATTATAATAATGATAATTTTTATCATGTAATTATTATTTATTGTAATATTTATAAAAATTCTAAATTAATATATTTGTCATTTTACATGTTTTTATTAGAAAATAGAATATTTAAAATTGTTAGCAATTATTAGAAATGGAACAATACATTATTATTCGTAATATTTCTAAATGAATTCTCACTGCCATTATTAATTATTCTAAATGAAATCGTTAATAATATACATTATTATTTATAAAATTTATTATTTGACATTTTTGATGCTTCCGTTCTGTTAAAAAACTAAGACTAAAGAAGTCAAACTACTCTAGCTAATTTAATAAATTATTAAATGATAAATTATATATATATTTTTAATTAAACATTTTAAAAATAAAATCAACAGTAAATATACAAATACATACTATATTAAATAATTACACAGAAATTATAATATATATGTGTGTATATATATATATATATATATAGACTTTTTTTGTTATAAAACACTTTGAGATTTTTCTCTGTGGGGGGATCTT